CCCATATCTTTATTTAGGGCCCCCACCCACCGCTCAGGGGTGGGGGCCAGGGGGGACAGTAGGTCCCCCCCATCTTTATTTCGGGCCCCCACGGGCATGGGGGGGGGTATTAGTTTTTTTTTTTTTTTTTTTTACAGTGAGCAGCTATACTGCTTACTACACATGCCCCTACTCGCGGTATAGCGAGTAGGGGCATTTAATTTACTAATACTAAGTAATCTTTACTTAGTATTAGTAAATGTGGCTGAAAGACCAATTTAGGTCTTTCAGCCTTTTAGTAGATAGCTCCCTGATACCGTGGGAATTAGGGAGTTATCTACTAAGCGGCTGCAAGATGCAGCCACAGCAATGAATAGGATCAGAGTTTCATTCATTAGAATGAAATTCCGATCCGAATAAAATGCCGAATTGCGTTCTAAAAGAAACGAACATACTGTTCTCATTCAGTTAGAACGCAATTCGGCAGTTTCATGTAAAATGACAGGAAGCATCGTGGGAACACAGAGGGAAGGTAAGGATCATGGGAAAATTGCTCTGACCAGCGGAAATGAAGCACACTTTGCTCCTCCGCTGGTCAGAGCTGGTCAAGCGGAGGAATCCTCCATAAGGCAAAGAGTCCCTACTTTGTCTTATGATTTTAAAGAAAACTAAAGAAGACAGGAAGAAAAGAATAACAGATCCTGAGAGAGGGGGAGAAGAGGAAGAGATTGAGGAAAGGTAAGTTCGGCATGACAGTGCCGCTTTAATAGAGAACTGTCAGGTTCTTCTAGGATTTTTAACATGTACTTATTCCCTGTGTGTTACATTACAAACACCAACACACTTAAATAAAAGTGATATCAGAAATTAGCAAAACAAAAAACAAAACATATTTAGCCACCCTCCTGTCTCCTTACCTTTTGGGTACAGAAAGGTGGCTTCCCTGGTGTCCAGTGAGAGCTTGCTGGCCCAGGCTGATGGGAGTCTGCCATCAGCTTTCTCAGTCCCTCTCCCCCACAATGCTTGCATCCTCCTCCATGTGGTGTGTGCCTCCTCCCCAGCGGCACTGAGGAGGAAGTGATCAGTTCTTACTGGGAGGAAGCAATCTGACCTCACTTCCTCCCAGCATGCCCAGGAAACAAAGAGACTCACAGTGCAGTATGTGAGGGGGCTAGCTGTGAGTATGTAGTCAGCCACCCCCCATATAACAGGGGCCCGGGCCCGTCCAGAGCAGTATTAAAGGGCTGTGGCCCCTGATTACCTCAGGTGCTGCAGGGGGCCCATGGGGCAGCTGCCTTAGGGCCCCCAGGAGTAACTGGGCCCGGGGCAGCTGCCCCTTTTGCCCCTCCTTAAAGACGGCCCTGGCTTAACCCCAAATGTAAACATAGCAGTTTCTCTGAAACTGCTATGTTTACAGCAGGCAGGGTTAACCCTAGAGGGACCTGGCATCCAGACCACTTCATTGAGCTGAAGTGGTCTGGGTGACTATAGTGTCCCTTTAAGCACAGTGTTTATATTAATAATAATATTCACATTCAAACTCATCTCCTGTGAGATTATTGTATCATTCTTTTGCTTTATAGTGGAGTCTTTCCCTGACGCGTTTTACTGCTCTTGTAAGTTTCCAGGCTGTGCTTCAAGAGGCTGCTTGAAGTGTAACCATAATCACTAATAAGTAAAACAGACATGCTGCCATCAAGTATGAACTGAACAGAAGGTCGTCACTCATTAATACAGAAAGTCATTGCATTAGGGACAAATTCTAGAAAGATTACAAGCTGTGTCATACAAGGTTACATTAATGTTTACACCAACAAACATACGTTTGAAAAAAGAAAATCCATAGTAGAATTTTGAGAAATGTTGTTGAGTACCTAAAATTGGTGTAAAATGCCTGAGACCTCATCTCACAGCCCATTTTTCTGTATATTTAAAAAAAAAAAAGAATATGCTCAGGATGCACACAGTATATGAATGGTTTCAGGGCATATTTATAAGGACTCTACGGACTTCAACGAAATGAAGTTGTCATAGTGCCAGGAGGTCCCTGACATTGGCTTACCTTTTGGGATTAAGCTGTTCAAGAACGGTTTAACCCCAAAGTCTCTACTCCAGCACTAGGTTGCTTTACCCCCTCCAGCATCCACTTGCTGAAAAGTTTCAAAACGGAAGCCTAGAACTTCCGCAGACAGGGGAGTCGCTGATTGCCTTAGAGCAGTGAGCTGATGCTCTTAACCAGTCAGAGACTGCCTATTCACAACAGTTTGAAAAATGTATATATTTTTCCCAAGCCATTTTTATGAATGGGTACCAACAGACTGGCTGAGGCAGTCTTAGGCTTCCGCTTGTTTAAAAGCTTCAAAAGAATAGATGTAGGAGGGAGCAGAGTGATCCAGAGTACAGACTGCAAGAATGAGCACGTTGCATTTACAAACAAATATATCATTGGAAATAGGATCTCTTTGACAGCTAAAAAATTACTTATCTTCTTTACACCAATTTTAATTATGAGTTTGGATGTGGAAACACAGTAAATTCATTGTTTTTCTGTAAATTGCAATCCCATCTTATTATAGAATGCACATAAACTTGCCGATGATTATCATTTTTACTGTGGAAAGTATTTCACAAATTGCAGCATTTAGTCTGAAAATTAGTGAAAAAATGCAGAAACGTTGACTAAACTTTCCAAATGATTTAATATTTTTGGATAACATTTTTAAATGATTTGATACAATGAAAACATTTTAATTTGGTAATATGTTGATATATTGAAAATTTATATATATAATATTTGAATATGTTGGACTTTTTAAAGGTTTTTTCAAAAATATGAAATCTGTATTTAACTGAGACAATATAAAACAGAAGTAGAGCATAGAATTATTGTTCAACCGCAACATCCAAGAAACTTTGCCAATGTCGAAAACAGTCGTCTCGTCCGTCTTTTGGCCACCCCACCTCTATAATCTCCTGGAGGATTTCCATCTAGGATATTTGTGTAAATGTATTGAAGTAATCAGAAATGGTCTCTAATTGGGTGGTTACCATTGAAAGAAGACACTTCAAGTAAGATTTATTCATTTTTTTAGTATGTAGGGTATGTAGTATTAGTAGGGTGCAATCTATAGATTTAAAAATAGAAGGCTCAGTAATACGGTGCACTAGGCTCCGGTGGGCTTATTGTGCGTATAAGGACAGGTTTTCCACAAGCTCGTGGGTAGTGCCTCCCTTTGTGATATACGAGAATTCCTCGAACAAGAGTTGCAACAATGTCTCCCCATAGCCTGAATCCCAGGTAGGGGGTAAGCTGTAAAAAATAAATAAATAATTACTTGTCAGAGTTAAATAGCATGAAGTAATGCGTTGGGGGGGGGGACAGCAGTTACTGGAATGTAAGTATTGCTAAGATACACATAAACTAACTGCAATCTGATACAAGGAAATTACAATTTACTGTATTATTTTATAGGGACACATGTTAATATGTAGAATAACAGGTTCACAAATAAAAGAAAACAGTATTGATCGAGAGGCCTGTGTAACCCTGCTCTTAGTGTAGTAGATAATTTGTTTAAATTTTGTTTCAGATATTTTTGTTAGTTTTAAGAGATATATGACATGTAACCAGGTAGATCAGTTTTACAATATCTCACTAAAGCCTGGATTTCATTATTTTGGGTAAGTTTGCCGCATGATCACAATGTGTTAGAGAAACATTTCAAATTATTTATATACAGTACTCACCATTAAAGTCTATGAGAGTACAATATAACCTTACAAACGTATAAACTTACAAACATCCTCTCTTTGCTAGTTTCAGTAAAGTGTCATATATTGCGAGTTCTCCCAAATACAAGAATATCTCAACATTTCCCTACAACAGAATAACATCAAGCTATGCTCTTCTGACATGATATTAATTACCTGGTCATACAGGAAAGTCTGTGATCATAGCAAGTGTGGGCTGTGGCTCAAAAGGGTTTGTCGTAGGTACCAGCTGGTATTGTACTCTTAAAGGACCACTCTAGGCACCCAGACCACTTCAGCTTAATGAAGTGGTCTGGGTGCCAGGTCCAGCTAGGGTTAACCCATTTTTTTTATAAACATAGCAGTTTCAGAGAAACTGCTATGTTTATAAATGGGTTAATCCAGCTCTCAAATCCTCTAGTGGCTGTCTCATTGACAGCCGCTAGAGGCGCTTGCGTGTAAATGCTTTCCTATGAGACCGGCTGAATGCGCGCGCAGTTCTTGCCGCGCATGCGCATTCAGCTGAAAGGGAGGAGAGGAGGAGGAGGATCGGAGGCGGAGAGCTCCTCGCCCAGCGCTGGAAAAAAGGTAAGTTTTAACCCCTTTCCTCTTCCCAGAGCCCGGCGGGAGGGGGACCCTGAGGGTGGGGGCACTCTCAGGACACTTTAGTGCCAGGAAAACGAGTATGTTTTCCTGGCACTATAGAGGTCCTTTAATTTTTCTTTCAGTTTGAAGAATTTGTAATTGGGTGCCAAGTTTAAAAAAACAAACAAATGATTTGCAATGCAGGGCAATTAAATTGTGTAACACTTACATGTTAGTGTATTTAATTGCCCTGCATTACAACTCATTGCAAATAACAGGTTTGGGAGACCAGCCAATCACAATCTACTATTTTACACGTACAAAATGTAACAGACATATCTGTGAAGAGTGTGTTAGGGAACATAATGTCACAATGACTTTTGGTTTCATAGTTAATAATGTCTCCACAACTTCTCAATGGCATAATGTTCCCATAATGCACCCTTGTGTATCCTCTCAATTCCTTAAAAGGACACTCCAGGCACATGCTGAGCACGCTGAGCATGCTGAGTTATCAGACCAACTCCTCCAAACCTAACTAGCTGCCTGCTGCTGCAGGTTCATAGAGAACACACAGAGCAATTGCAGCAGCAAAGAAGTTAGGTTGAGCAGCAGTTGGTCAGACAGCAGTAGAGTCTGACCTAATATGGCTGCTCAGCCAGATAAAAAGTGTAATTTAAAAAAAAAATACATCATTTTAAAAAATCTCATGAAGTTTCATTAAATGTAATAACATTTACAAAATGAGAAGTGAAAATTTGATGACAGCTGTCCTTTAAGTACATTTGGTTTTGTCCTCGTATTCATCCTGCGTCTTGTCCATATTAAACTATCTTTTCTTTTGCTAAAAATGTTTTTAGCTTTTTGAAATGTAGCAGGCTACCAAGTATCCTGATTCTGATTTCAGGGACCTGTCCCGCCAATCCCGATGTGGTGCCCTGATATCCCAGCAATCAAAGAGTGAGTGCATCATTAGGGCACAATAACCATGCAGAGAGAGCGTCAGCATTTTGCCAATTTGGGGCATTGTCAGTTTTGTTACTGGAATCCCCACCCTACCAACCACACTCAAGTTGTAATGGTGTTCAGTGTTCCATTATTGAATAGGAGAACATTTTTTTTTTTTTTAAGAAATGCTTCTCAATCCTTTGAGTATACATGCCACTATACATAGCTCCCAATGTTTCACTTTGTAATGACTTGATGTGCGAGAATTTACCTTATTCTTGTGGTGAAGCCTTGATTCCTGCACCTGTAGAAAAATAAATAAATCTGAGATTAGATTTTGTAGTTAAGGGTTCCTTGTGTAGACGGGGTGGCAAGGCCTGGGCATGTCTGACAGTTCGCTGTCAGCTGGAGCATCTCTTTATGCATCCCATATTGAATAGCAGTCAAAAGGTAATATGGCGGAGAGAATGGTAAAGAAAATAATTGTTAATGGAAGACAACACCGTGAGCTCATCAAAAGTACAACTGTCCATCATATGTACACTTTTATTTTGTGTGCTGACAATTTTTATTTAAAATATAAAAAAAAATTAACAAAATGTGAGCCCATTGTACATGACAGCATTTATCTTTCGCAACTATATCTTTCAGCCTAAGTTACATTACACGTTAGATGGGTAACAAACTAGAGAATAATGTATAAAAAATTGCACTTTTTCCCCATAAAGAATGTATAATTGTGGCTATAGGAATGAAGTGATTTGTAGCACTAATACATTAATATTTAGTGGGGAAATTCCTAAAAATAAATTATACTGCACCAACAACAAATGTCTACAAACATAGGTCTCAATTTAATATTTTTGGATCAGCGTTTCAATTGATTTAATATTTCTAGATAAACCTTTAAAAAAAATGTTTTTTGAAATATTAAAATATAAAAAAAATTATATAAAAAAATATATCAATACATCAAAATATTCAAACAGATTTCAAAATATTAAATGAAGAAGTGTAATAAAAATATAAAATAATTTGAGAAGCGTATTAAAAAAAATATTGAGATGCAGGGGGCACGTGTTAGCAACATCTAAACAATTACAGCTCGTTACCAGTATCTCTTTATACCCCATACGAGTACATATTCCCTTTCATGCAAGTAACACATGGATACTTAATAAAGACTCCTCAGGTTTTCACTTTCTTTACCTGATATTCTTTGTCCGGATCCCAGATAACAAAGTCTGCATCATATCCAGTTTTAATAGACCCTTTACAATTGTCCAAGCTGCACAGTTTGGCTGGATTACTGCTCAACAACTGCGACACATCGGACAGAGTGAATCCTCTGCCTCTTGCGGAGCTCCAGAAAAGAGACAACCCTGCAGGAATAGAAGAAGATGCTGCACCGCTTTCACAAAGTTAATAATTAAAAGGGTTTTATTCACAAAAAGTGAAATTTGGTAAAGTGAAAGGAATTTTGAAATTCTGACCCAACATTTTGGCTTGGATACCAGTGTCAGTTATTTTGCTTCACGGTTCACTGCTTAAAGAACAAGAAAACAATTTATAGACAAATGTAGTGAATTAAAAACATTTGTTAAAGATGGCCGTATAGATAAACGGACATTAAAAGGACACTGTATGTATCTTAATGAAGCTGTCATAGTGCCTGCAGCCTTGTCCCCCTCTCCTATCCCGTCGAAGCCCTCTAGTTACGTAATTAGAAGGCTTAGAAGTGCAGGCTCAAGGCATGCCTCCAAGCCCTCTGGTTCTCATTCCGTAACATACATCACGTGCACATGTGCAGTGATGTCACAGTCGACCATTATTGTATTAAAGCACAAGACGTATAGTGAGTCTCCTAGTTGTCACCAACACCTCGGTTAACTCCAAAAAACCATGATAAACACAAAAGGCAACAAAAAATTATGTGGTGTGCTACAATTACATGTGTGAGGATCACCAATGAGATAGTATACATACACTGGTTATCGGTCTCCCAAAATATACTAGTAGTACTCCAGTTAGGAAATGATATTCCAGCTTTTAATCACTTAAAAACAAAAACATAGGCCTGACTTCCGGTGCGGATGGCTGCTCTCTGCTAGAGCTCCGTACCGGCAGGCACAACATTAGCGTTTACCGGCACGTATACCCGACGAACGGGCAGCACACCCGGTCCCCAGCATCCCGGCTACGGCACTCCACCGACCCGACATGGGAGGAGGGCGCAAGACCAAGCATGGCGCGGAGGTAGCGCCAATCTTTCACGCCCGCAGGGAGGAGAGCTCCTCACATGGGGAAGATGGCCGCGAGGAGGACTCAGATTCGGCGGCAAGTGACACCAGCCGCACGGCAGCCGCAGCACCTCTTACAAAAGCTGACCTCAGGCACCTGCTGCAGGAGATCAAAACCAACATGGCTGCAGAGTTTTCCAGACACCTGACTCCCATCACTGAAAGCCTAAATGACCTCACACGCAGAACTACCGCCATTGAAGACCAGCTGGACCGCACCTCCACGCAGGCACAGACAAATGAAACTGCCATCTCAGCACTACAAGACCAGGTACGCCTGCTGGAAGAGGCCCAAGAGGACCTCAACAACCGTTCCCGCCGCAACAATATACGAATTCGCGGGGTGCCAGAGACGGTTGGAATAGACATGCTGGCCCCCACTTTGAGAGAGCTTTTCTGCAGCCTACTACCCGAGGCTTCACCGGCCGAGCTCCTACTAGACAGAGCCCACAGGGCCCTTAAAGCACCCCTCCCGAACGCAACCCAGCCCAGGGACATCATCATCCGCATGCACTATTTCCATATAAAAGAAGCGCTGATGTGAGCGGCGAGAGATAACCCACTCCAAATAGAGGGGCATCAAGTCTGCTTTTATCAAGATTTAGCTCCAAGTACGCTACGCAAGAGAAGGGAACTCAGACCCCTAACCTTGGAGCTGGCCAGGAGACACATAAGATACACATGGGGCCACCCCTTCAAGCTACAAGTGAGACAAAACAACCGGGTACACACTCTGTACCATATCTCCGAAGCCACAGCATTCGCGGAATGCCTGGGCCTTCCGGCCATTGACCTCACCGCCGAACAGCCTGATAGACGCCCAGCAGGAAGACTGTCTCCAAGGGGCCCGACACTGCACCCGACAAGGGCTCCACCTCCCAGCAGTCCTCACCCTCAACCGGCCACCTAAAGACGTTCAGATGACCGCACCTCTACGACATGGACCGTCACCTTCCACTGATTCCACGCCGCCAGGACAACCGCAAACACACCTCACAGACTACCGGACCCACGGCATCGCACGCCAGGAGAACACGAACTATCTGACCACAGGTCGCCCGGAACCAGATAAGCTATGACTTTACCCTAAACAGGACTAATTATGTGGCAACCCTATGTTGCATGTTTTAACTCTAAGCTTTAGCCCTACAATTACAGCCAAATACGGCATGGGAAATCACGTGGGGGGGAGGGGGGTATGGAACAGGAATGGGGGGAGGGAGGGAAAACACAAAGAAAACACGGGGAAAAAAACAAAACACACCACACACGCACCACCGGGACCCCCGGGCCCAGCCGCTAATGAGCCCACCACTAGACCCCCAGATGAACCCACTTCAGCTGAACACAGAACCCATGGGACCCCACTAATCTTACACTCCCCAAACACAAACTACTGCCCCCACAGGGGACACAGGCTGCCAACCCCGTTTCTGGACATCAAAGCGGGGAGGGGACACTAGACAGATAGTGGGGAACACGCCCAGCTGACCCCGGCAACTGACACCTGCCTGTAGGCAGGCACCCAGGGAACCCATACAAGCATAGCCCCCCAGACAACCTAGCACACAGACGGAATCGGGCCCTTCCCTGGGGAGCCAGTGAACCCCACACCCTCCCACCACACTAAAGTCCCTAGGCCCCAGCCATATGGAAAGCACCCCATCGGGAAAGACGCGCCAGAAGTCTCACACTACAGGGGACCCCCTCCCCCACCCCGCTAATTACACAACCAGCCGAACTACCAAAGGGAGGGTGAAAAGAAAAGAGGGAAAAAAAAAAAACACTCAAAATGGGATTAATAAAAAAAAAAAAACACATGCAGACACAGACATACTACTGCACACAAGCCCATGCATTCAACGCAGACCACTGATCCTGGACTGACGGGCAAGCCTATCTCCAGACAAACATCGAGCCAAAATAATGTAGGGGGGTTGACCCCTGGGGGGGACCAAGTAACTAAGCCACTCAACGCACGAACACGGGGCACCCTGTACTGGACGCCCCCGGGCACCTTTCCCCCTGCCCCAACAGATCACTGGAGGCACTCTATCTTCCAGAGCACAAAGACAATTCATATTATGGTACACTCATACTGTCGCAGCAATGTCTGTCACTGTTCTGCATGTTATGTATATTTTTTCTAAATGTCTCATTTTCTCTTGTGGTAACAACATCTCTCCTTTGGACCCGGTCACGACCACACCACGAAAGGCACCCACTGACGCACCGGACGCGACACAGACAAGGGAGCTAGCAGACGCTACAAACACATCACCAGACCCTGGCGGCACGGACGCACTGACCCTACACGCCTACACCTTCATACGAGGTGAGGAACGATAGACATGACGGTCACAATCACTACTTGGACCGACCACCACCTACCAACGTATACGATTCAATACTCACATTGCCTGCCGGCAACTCTGCTATAGAGATTGCCAACCCCTGACGACACGACACCACTAGGGTACGAACACCCACCGAGCGGATAGACGCTCACCCCGTATACTGCTGGCAACAATATAAGCCCAGCGGATCACCCCTCCTAACATTCAACCCTCACCCCCAAAACCCTCACGAACCCCGCCTTTCCCATAGATAAGAACCCCAACACCCACTCACCCTCTCCCCATCCCCGTGGCCTTGGACCGCCCGGGAGCGCGGCCCCCAACCTTCTCACACTCCCCACCCCAGAGCCCTAGCGATAGACCAAAGACACCATGCCTGTAAACTTGTGGTGCGTATCTATTAATGCAAAAGGGCTGAACTCCCCCGCCAAGAGACATGGCATACTAAGATGGGCTCACAAACAAAACATAGACATCCTACTTATACAAGAAACCCACTTCACGGCCCAATGCGCTTTCCCCCTCACCAACAGACATTACCCGAAGAGCAATATGGCCCCTTCCCCAGACTCCAAAACGAAGGGAGTAGCCATTATTTTGAGAGCCAACTGCCCCCTCTCAGACGTGGTATGCAACAGGGACCCGCAGGGACGCTACGTAACCATACAGGGGAAAGTGGGCACTACAACCTACGCCTTCTCCTCGCTCTACGCACCTACGACACCAGACGCCTCATTCTGGCAACAACTGACCACACACCTCAACACTTACTCAACTGCGCGACTCGTGGTCGGGGGGTTTTGCAACGCAGTCCACACCCCAGCCACCGACAGGACCTCTACTGCCACGGCACGTTCTCGCCCGTCGCAGAATGATTCCCTATTCCACCAATTTCTCACCTCACAAAAACTGATCGACATATGGAGGGTACAACACCCGTCAACCAGAGACTACACGTTCTACTCCCACCCGCATGGCACGTATTCACGCATAGACCACTTCCTGGTGACCCCTAACCTAGTACCACAAATCACTAAATCTGAAATCGGCTCTATATCGTGGTCCGATCATGCGGAAATAGCTATCACCCTCGCTCTACCGTCGATTTATCGACAATGGTCATGGAGGCTGAACCCTCTTCTCCTGCATGACAAATCAATCACCGACAAAATAGCTAAAGAGCTGAAAGAGTACTTTGACCTAAACACACAGGCGGACACTGCGCCCACCACGATATGGGCCGCCCATAAAGCGGTCATCAGGGGCACTCTCATTAGCCTGGCCACCCATAAAAAAAAGACACACACAACAGCAAATCACTGACGCCATGACGGAACTCCGCCGCCTAGAAACCCTACACAAAAAGAACCCTAACCCCGCCACGCTAACTAAACTGACAGCTACCCGGGACCTCCTCAAAACCCTCACACAACAAGACACCTCCAAGGCCCTGATGTGGCTAAAACGGACGTTCTACGAAAAAAGGGAACAAGGCGGACACTATGCTGGCCCGCCGACTCAAACACCGAATAGAGTCCAAACGGATCTCGGCCATACGCACCACAGGAGGCGACGTTAGCAATGACCCAACTCGCATAGGTAGCATTTTCCAGGACTACTACACCAACCTATATAACCATACCCGAAACTCCCAAACATGACAAGGGCTCACATTTGCCTCCTCCCCAAACCCGGAAAGGACCAGCTAGAACCTGCCCACTATAGGCCGATCTCCCTGCTTAATGTTGATCTCAAACTCATGACCAAGGTCATGGCAAACAGACTAAATCCACACCTGGGATCACTCATACACCCCGATCAGGTGGGCTTTATACCCCAGAGACAGGCAGCGGACAACACCCGAAGGGCCATTGACCTCATTTGGCTCGCCAACCATAGACGTATCCCAACAGTAGTCATATCGCTCGATGCCGAAAAGGCTTTCGATCGCCTCACATGGCAGTTCTTACACCAAACTCTGACACACATAGGACTACCACCAGAATTCACCTCGTTCCTAACAGCGGTATACCACGACCCCCAGGGGGCACTCCTGTTGCCTAATATCCCACCCCCATGCTTCCCTATCACTATCGGCACGCGACAGGGGTGCCCTCTGTCACCCCTGCTGTTCGCCCTCTCCCTGGAGCCCCTTCTCCGGACGGTACGCGCCAATACGGAGGTGGAGGGGATCACGGTCAGGGGGGAAATATTCAAAATTTCGGCATACGCCGATGACATCCTGCTGACCCTGACCAACCCAGAGCGCTCCCTAGGGCCCTTCCTCACCATTGTGGAAGAATACTCGGAAATTTCGGGATATAAGCTCAACTTGAATAAATCGGAACTGCTTCCTGTCCAAATGGACACCACAACGCTAGATAGGATCCGCCTCACCTTCCCTCTCCGGGTCTGCCACTCGGCTATTTCCTATCTCGGGATCCAACTAACAGCTAACGTCACGTCCCTATACTCCAAGAACTACACCCCTATGATACTCAAAGCATACGAGGACTTGGTCACATGGAAAATCCTGGGCATATCATGGATGGGACGCGTGACCTCCATCAAGATGAACCTCCTGCCTAGGTTCCTCTACCTTTTCCAAACCCTCCCAATCCCTCTACACAAACCAGATTTCAAGGCCCTCCAAACGGCTATTGATAGGTTCGTATGGAACGGACGCAAACCAAGGGTACGCAGGAGCACGCTATACGTCCCCAAGAAATCCGGAGGCCTAGGCCTACCGAACTTCTTACACTACCACACAGCAGCACACTTAGCACAGATACAGCACTGGCACGTACAGCCGGGTGAGAAGAGATGGGTGGATTTGGAACACCTGATCTTTGGCTGGGACCACCCGTCCCTATACATGTGGACACCCAGGCCACACAGACCCCTACCACCGCCGACAGCACCCGCGATCACGCACGCACTTGACCAGTGGGACAAAGCGAAAGATAAATAAGTAAATAAGTAAATATACTTTCCCCGATGACCCCGATCTGGCGGAACAAACTGTTTCCCCCGGGCCTCACACCCAAACACTTCGCCAAGTTCGAACAAAGAGACATTGCTAGAATAGGACACCTCTATCAGGACAACGACATTATCCAGTTCTCAGACATCCCAGACTCCGCGTCCCTCACAACATTTGACCACTTTTGGTATATACAACTACGTAGCTTTGCAGCGATCCCAAGCATTAAACAAGCGGGGACAGCACCACTCACCAAATTTGAACGTCGATGCGTGACCCACCCCAACAGAAAAGGTCAAATCTCAGACCTGTACACAATCATAGCTAACCCCACACAACGCTCCCTCCCATACATATCAGCGTGGGAGACAGACCTGGGTCCACCGACCGAAACGACAGACTGGGCGGATATCTGGGAGGCAACAGCCTCCGTCTCCATATGCGTTACACACACCGAGCAGGCATATAAAATGCTTTTTCGGTGGTACCTCACACCACAACGCTTGGCTTCTATGCACCAGACACCATCCAATGCATGTTGGAAGCTATGTGGAGAGACGGGAACGTTCCTCCACTGCTGGTGGACGTGCCCAAAACTCCGACCGCTATGGCAAAGCGCCACCCACTTAATCGCCAAATTACTACACAAACCATGCCCGGCAGACCCTTGGGCCCTGTTGCTATCCAAGCCCATAGACCCTTTCACGAGATCAGAAAACAAACTGATAGCCCGGATCGCGCTCGCCATCCGCAGAGCCATAGCCGAACTCTGGTCTACGACCCGCATCCCAACACAAGAAATGATAACAAGAAAAATAACAGAGAGTTCACAGATGGATAAACTGACAGCACAACTCCGTGACACCCCCAAACATTTTCACAAAGTATGGGACCCATGGCTAGAGGGAGACACATCCATCCCCTGGTAGCCGTATGCACAAACTGAGCACCTGCCAACAACACAACAAACGACTAGGTAGCTAACACACTACCCCTCACTGAACACATGAGACCATGGCTCTTAAGCCTGCCACCAATGAGCCCCAGCCCCCCCCAGTCCCACTCTTAGGGACGCCGTGCTCCGGGCGGTCCGCGACCCCAACCCCTATCTCCAACCCGACCCACTATAACCAGGCCACCCACGACACCACCAACCTCAAGGCCTCACCCCACCAACCCAACCACTCACGACACAACCAGAAGTACCATTCACCTGGGAACAGGGGAAACACTAGGACGACCACCCTACTAACGGGCGCAGAGACGAACCTGACAGGCGGAACCCGAAGCGGGGGTTAAAAAGCTGGAACACAACAAACACCAACTAGGGTCCCTCAAAACTTGACAGGAGAATGATCGACCTGTAAGCAAAAATACAACTGCCGACTCGGACTGACACAATAGACCGGGACTTACCAGCTAAGCAGATAGGAAAACACACCCCAATGCCAGCCGCACTCTCGACCCGCACGGACTCTCTACCCCTTCCTCGGTGACCCCACCGCTTCGAGAGGGTACTAGATTACACCTCAACACAGGTTCGATAACTGGTAGCCATTATAGTCTAATGCATACTGTTCACCATTGTACTACCATATTTTTAAACGTACCCTGCGTTGGTACAAACCTGTCTGAATGGAACTGTCGTACCCCCCCCCCCTCCCTCTTTTGTTTTCTGTATCCCTTCCCTTGATTACTGATACCAACACAAAACCAATAAATAAAGAATGATAAAAAAAAACAAAAACATAAAACAAAACATAGTGTAAAACTGTTAGATAAAATGATAAAAGATAAGGTGATTAATGGACTCACAGGTGGTCCGCCACTAACAGTGGCCAGAAAGACACATCGATAGGTCAAAAGACCTGCCACAAAGGGACTCCAAGATGTTCTGTATCCTTGGGAACCAGAACCTTGGTGCATTATTGTATTGAATGATTCTCTATTCCAGAATCTTAGGTGAATGAGGAGCATTGGATTGAAGAAGGAGGTCGTGGCAGTGCAGAGTGACACTCTGCGCTGGAGAAAGGTGAGTAATTTGTTTTATTTTTAATTTATTTCGATTTTTTGTTTTGTTCTTGCGAAATGTATTAAGGGGAATCAGGAGTGTAGCGTTAGAAATACAGATATGTGAATTTGGTTTTCCATTCACTAGAATCCACTGCTTAGTCAATTAAGGAATATGATCAGCATTGAGTATAATTAGCACTTGTTATTCCAGCTGTAACACTTCTTTGAATTAAAATAAAATGTATTGCTTCTTTACATTTTTATCCCCTTGACTCCCAATGGGCTCAATTATTTTTGGATAACATTTTCAAATGATTTGGAAAATGTTATAAAAAAAATATTGAATATATTTTTAGGTAAACTTTAAAAAATATATCTTTAAAATAATAAAGTTTTCTTTTGCAACATTTAACTTCGAGAGCTTCACATCCTCTTTGATCCTGCATTGGGTTTCACTCTGAAGAAGAGATCTATCACCGGTTAATGGCATTGGTCAAAAAGCTGCATTTAGATCAAGTTTGGGTTTCTGCCACTTATTTGAAAATAAGTTGTGAAAACAAATATTTAGTGATAATGGGATCTTACTCACCGAGCTGTAAAGAGGATATTCCTCCCCAAGCAGCCATAAAATCTCCATCCTGTAGGAGTTTAAGATCTGGAGTGCAGGGTGAATGATCAGACACAACCATGTCTATGTCTCCCTGCTGAAGAGCCCTCCACAGTGCCTCCTAGTGGACAGACAGGCAGATACATTGTATCATTCACATGCCAATTATTTCCTTGAAGATAAATGGGAACACTGGTATAATCTACATATGTATACAGCTAAAGGTAAATAGTATAGGATTGCCAGTTATGAAAAAAATACATTCAGTATTCTGGGATTAACTGCATATCTGGAAATGAACTGAAATGAGTCATCCCAGTATTAGAGATACTCCCATCAAACTATAAAAAATGCCAATTAATAAATTAAAAATTACTGTTTTAAATAATAATGTAATTATAGTGAGATGCCAAACACGAAAACATGTAAAAAGAAAAGGTGAACTATATGCACATGTAAAACCAATCCTTCCTAAAACGTTAAATACTATCTCCAGGAATAACTTCTCGAAGATAATGGCTAACAAGAAATGTACTAATAGGAAAAAACCTTAGCATCCGAGCCAAAAAACTCTGATACACAGAAGTAATATATTCATTTAAGAAACTTGATACATCTAATGAGACAGGAAACAAATATATCACGTAGATGTTTCCTATACTCAATGACACTATGTATCTAGTCTTATAGTTCAACTTAATCGAGTATCTACCAGGCATGAGCTAGCATGTATCACAGGAGATCAGTCGAAAACAAATGCTTCAATAAAAAAATAGTAGATACACAATACAGGAAATGTTAATTAATTTCTTGTTAGCCATTATTTTGTAAACATTTTTTAATTTTACATATTTTGTAAAAATAAGCCCTCATAGGATTTTGATAATGCTCTCACTGGCACAAACACTATCCTATCCAATTTATTTAATGTATTATTTAGATAACGCATTAAAATATAGGGAACAAAAATACAATTAAAGGAAACCATCCTTTTAATAGCCCTGTTCATAGTTTTGAATGGATCCACTTAAGCCCCCGGACACACATACAGTATGTGCAGCTGTGTCTCTGTTCCTCTAATAGAAATAAAGTGGTAAAAGGAGATGTAGAATCCTTCTCTGAAATCAAATTAATATCGGGCTGGCTTACTACAGGTTCATGTTCACCAGTTTCTCCTTCTTCCGCCCAACACACATGTAGATTTTCCTGTAGGTCTGCCGGTATATACTCTCCTAATGACTGTTATATGGTATGGCTCATAAAAAATGTTAAATATGCAGTTTAATAGTGGCAAAGACAAAGTGTTGAGCATTATGAAGAAGTCATCCACTAGTCCTTTCTGTCACATTACCTTATGTTGCCCAGGCTAATACAAAGCCTGAGAAGGTCCCTTCCCATGGTCCCTCTCATCTCAACAGCGGTTCCAACGCCGGGCACTGTGACTCCGCCCCCTTTTATGGCACAGCGCATGTGACGTCATAGCCAGCCAAAACGTTTGAATTCGCACGTTTTGGGTGCATGGCTATCAATTAAAGGCATAGACTATATAAAGAACATGTAAGGTGTTAGTCATTGCCCTGTTGTGGTTTCTGTTTTCAGTTCTCAATAGTGCGTTATATTCTGTGTCTATTCTGGTATTTTGATCTTGGCTTCCTCCTGACTAATCTCCGCTCTGTTCTCCCTGACTCGGCTACTGTTTTTTCGCTTCCCTGATTTCTGGCTTTCCTGACTCGGCTTGTCCCTGAACATTCTTGTTCTAACAAGGTATAACTCGGCCATTCTAAGGACTGGTAAACGTTGTCTAATCTATCATCATATATTTACTCTGCGTGTTGGGTCACTAGATATCAGTTACTAGCCGGTGTGCACCGAGTACTATGATCAAAATGTAAACATAACATGTCCAGATAGACAGCACAGCATCAGAAAAGGGGAAGAAGACTGGAGATTAGAGTAACCTACTAAAATATATAAACATATTAAATCAGGAAATAATGTCTAACATTGCCAGAGATGACTCTACCAAGAATATGATGGACTTGCAAAAAAAATTTAATAATAATAATTGTACATTTGGTATCAAATTCCTCATAACTGGAATATCCCATAAAATCCGATCTCAAGAAAGCTGTGAAAATAATCGGATATATGTGGTCTATGGAAATATCTTGAACACAATAAATAAAACTGAAAAGCAGTAAAATCCCATTTAATAAATTGTATTTAACTTAGCCCAGTTACACCACACATCCACAATGTCTGAATTGTACTTTACCTTGTTGCTATGATCCCTTATGGGTGGGCAGCACTTGTAATATGTGGCCCCTGGAGGAATGTATTCAGCAGTTAGAGATAGATAATGGTGGGTAGTCTCCACCGTGATCGGTGCTCCAGCCTTTTTTGCTTTTCTGATAATCGGAAGCGATTTCGCTGAGGATAGGTGCACAATATGGCAGCGTACTCTGTGGATACAAGGACAGGATGGTCACTGTATACAGATTTGGTATCTAAGAGTACACTACATGTACATAAAAACACTTCATCAATTCATATTTAAAATTGTTAATCATCTGTAGGATTTAATAGTCCCAACATCATCTGTTTTCAGTACTACCCACTTCTGTCTGTTTAGATACAGACTGTCTTAGTCCAGAATAGCGTAAGAAATGGTTAGTAACAATATATAAATTGAAAATATGACTTCAAAAAATATTTAGCAATTTTCTTCTCATTGAATTAACAAGAAGGGTTTGTAGTTTAGTTACATGAAAAATACCAATAACATGTTGAAATGTTTCCTTAGACTGCAATAGACAATCTCGGATTTTAAGGTTGCTTAATAAGGTTGAAAAAAGATGGGTCAATCAAACTCAATCTTTAACACATCTCCGATTCTGCTGTTAATCCTAAAGAAGGTGAAAAGTCCACTGTCAAGCCATTTACAAATCTGTCACAAAATGAGAAAAAATGGCAGTCAGATTACTCGTTGGCATAAACTGTAATCTCACATATTAAAACAACACTATAGCACTAAGAATACAAGCATGTATTCCTAACGCTGTTGTGTTACCCTACCTATTTAGGTGTCTCCCTGTGAGGGTAAAAGTTTTACTTACTATAAAACTTGTGGTTTGTTGGTGTCACTGCAGCCTCGATCTCCTCTCATTATCAGTCTTGATGATCTTAGCCAATCCAATACTTTCGCATACTTTCACACAGGAAAACATTAAGAGACTAGTATGCAAGTGTGCCAAAACACTGCAGTGAACCAATCAAAGGCTCTCTTCTACACCATATGTTTTTACTTTTTCTCTACAATAGCTGAAATCTTCTTCCTTCATGTCTAACAGAGTTGGTTAATGTATTTTCTATAACTCTGTTTTTATTCAGTTTACTTTTGAAACAGATATTTGATTGTGCATTGAACCTTGAATCAGATCAACCACTATAGAGTGTTGCTATTCACATGTGGACAGTTCTTATTATAGCCATGGGTGCCAGCAGATGTTAAGCAGTAACCTTGTAGGAAACATCTTATGCTTTGAAATAATTCTGAGCAATATTAGTATTCTCCCCAGGCATACAAATATTTTTATTCCACACTTAGTAACAGTTGATGTATAACTATGGCCTAAATTTGAGGGAAAACCGACATGATCATATTCAATAAGCTGTGATCTTCATACAATACAACATACTGTGTTTATATAAGAGTAACAGCTAGGTGGTACTCGGTACTTACTTGTACTCCAGACAAAGACAGACCACTGCTTCAACTGCAGCAACTTCCATCTGGTCAGAGCGAGAATCGAGGAATGTTTTATAAAGCACATTGTCTGCGAGAAAACATGGAAATGTCACATGTCAGACGTACATTGAATCCCTGTTATTCCTCAATCTAACATCGGCTCTGAATGCATTGCAGCCTGTAATTGCCCTCACTCACTGCAAAACTTGATATGAATGATAGGAGTCACACTTATACAACCCTTTGATTTGAATTAACTGCTGTTTCAGATTTAGAAGAATTGCCATATTGTACAATCCTCACCTATTCATACTGTACACTCGATTAACATTCGATCATTATTAATATCTGGTTCATGGATTATTTGACATTTTACTGGTTGCCAGGATTCCAGGATCACCCTCTTACCATCACAGAAGAAGACGTCACTTGTTTAGACACGTAAATAAATATAATTTGCCCCCAGTATTCTAAAGTAAAGGGAAAAGGAAATGTGTTTGCCTCACCTCCGATGACTGTATCTCTCTTGGGGTCATCAAGTTCAGCATGAAACTGAAAAAATAAAAAAATATATGTTTTTTAACTTTTATATATCTGTTATCTTGCTTTTAGTCTTCAAACATGTTTTTTTAAAATCCTGACTAAATTGAATAGCCTACATTTTAATGTGTTCATTAGGATCTTAACTTTGCAAGTGTACCTTAAAAAAAACAAAAAAACTAAACGGTTATAGTTATAACCCAATCTATACCTACAGCTAAAGATTAAAAAATTAAAATCTCATAAAAATTGAAATCTAATCTCTTCTCCCTCTTTCTGTGTCCCTTTACTCCATTCAGTGATTTTAGGCAGCTAATTTATACAATTTTACAGTTTCATTGTTTATGATTTCAATATTCTTTATCATTGCAATACTGTTTCTAATGTAACACTTTTCCTGTGCACGATTTTGAATGAATGCTGGATAGTCGTGTGCTAAATTGTCTGTTGTTTTCCAAGTGCGTCAATTTCTGTGCGTGTGAGTGTTAAATCCTTATGACCAGAGTAGCCAAAGTGAAAGCATAGCAGACAGAGAATTTATCCAGTTTGGCTATTTTAATATAAACATAGAATGTGACGGCAGATAAGAACCATTCGGCCCATCTAGTCTACCCAATTTTCTAAATACTGTCATTAGTCTCTGGCCTTATGCCTATCCCACGCATGCTTAAACTCCTTCACTGTGTTAACCTCTACCACTTCAGCTTGACGGCTATTCCATGCATTCACTACCCTCTCAGTAAAGTAATAATTCCTGATATTATTTTTAAACCTTTGCCCCTCTAAGTTGCAGCAAATATCCTTTGCATTTTGTTTGTGAATTTGAAATGGGTCTAGTAGAATACTAGTTAATGAAAATTTTCCAAGTTTAAGAAGATCAATAATATTTGGGATGGTTAAAACCACCAGTGTCATTTGAGGACACCATGTACCAGCAGTGGGGTTTGAACCCGTGCGGTTGTTTGTCCATTGGAAGTTAAGTCCAACGCCTTAACCACTTGGCCATCATGGTTGTACAGTTTTGTTGTACATTTGAAATTCACTTTGAATTCTCACTTTAGTAAAGAAACATTGAATCAGATCAACCATTATAGAGTGTTGCTATTCACATATGGACAGTCCTTAGTATATAGCTAATAAATGAATGTGTATGTATGGGTTTTGTAAAAAATGCCCAGAATACTCACCAGAAGCACACTGTTGGTGCCTTGCAGCTCTGGCATGGCTGTATGCAGATCCATTAGACTGACATGGGGGAACTCTGGTACCCCACTGGAGATTAGGAAACATTTGAATCCAGCAACACCAGCATGTAGCAAAGGTACTATCTCCACCTGTGCCAGGAGAGGAAGTCTACATGTGATGCAAGAAAACTGGATTCACAAACATACTGTCAGTGGCTATCAATACAGGTACACTCTGGAAAAATGTCAAAGTTTATGAGATAATTTATCATTTATAAATATAAACGTTTTGTGTAATGAAATGAATCCCAAGTCAACAAATACTTATACAATGCTTTTTCAAAGAGTTTTCCATTAGTCTAGCCAAACTTAATAAAAAACAATAGACCTATTTAATACATAAAGCCACAGATCTACCTGATGTACCACAGATCAGGAGTGGGCACTTATTACTTAGCCTTACATTGTGTATTAACGGTTCACTGTAGGAACTTTAACAATCTCAAGGATTTAGTTCACTAATTAAAGGTCTTGGAGGCACGGTTTCAAGCCACGCCTCCAAGCCCTATGGGTATGAGAGCCAGGAATCTTACTTTCCGGTTCTCATACCGCATGCGCAATGCCATCATGGCTGGCCATAGAGAATCATTGTATTCAATCATGCTCTGTGGCAGAATCTTAGGTGCATTGCAGCAGACCCCAATGCTTCTCTATGAGGAGGAGGAGGTTGTGGCAACACCGATGGAGACTTAGCGCTGGAAAACATTACATTTTTCCTTACCTGGTTATTCGGAATTATTCCACCCCAAAATGCTACATCCACGAAGCACTGGCCCTCAGCAGCCTTCCGTTTGATGTGAAAATTACTCACAGAAGTGGTGGGTGGGAGACTATTGCTGGAAAAAAAAACATTGGTGATCCCAATCATTTTGTAATATATTTTCTGTAATTAAAGGATAACATCCATTTCATAAGTATATTTTATCTGTAACAACTGTAGTATGAATTACAGAACCTTCAATTTATCCTGCACTATGTTAGGCAGACAGACAATAATAATGTGCTTTGTTCATCACTTGCATATCTTACATAGACTTTGAGAAGTCTGGGCACAGTGAAAAATCATGTTTCATAACTATCCCAGAATTCCCAGCTCAACATGCAAATGAGCATAGACAAGCATCGTGTTTCAGACTTAATACTGCATTTCTGCTGATACCATTAGCAATTGACACTGTTTTTTGTTTTTGTTTGTTTTTTTCAAAGATTTATTTTTAACACAAGAAATATGAGCCATACGTCACTTCTCATAGGCACATCATCAATATGGTACAATCATGGTACATTACCAGTACTGTGCGTTTAATATGACATATTGACATGACAATGAGCCACGTTGTTGGTGGTGGTGGTACATAGGGGGAACTCATGGCCATAAGACCAGTTGGGTTTGTGCTTGTTTCACGTTGAGCCGTGAAGTTGTGTCTTGTGTATGCAGTTCTATTCAAGCAGTACTAGCTGTGGGAGGCACTGCCTCTGCGTGGTTGCATGTGGGTTCCACGGGAGTGAGATGGCTACAGGACCCCCTAGTGTTGGTTGCCATATGAGTGTGAGCATTGGCTTGGTGTTCAGAGAGGAAAGGGGAATGGGTGTAGGTCATAGAGTTGGGAGAGTAGTGAATAGAGGAGCGTTTGACAGGACTCCAGTCTCCCCTCTCAGGTGTTTGTGTGCGGAGAGGGGGAGAGAGAGAGAAAGAAAGAAAAAATAATAATTTAAAGAGAGAGGAGAAAGGGTAACCAAGTTTTAGGGAGAGGGCAAGGTACTGGTTCTAATACTCAGTTTTTGGTATTACCCGGCAGTGTGGTGAAGTTCTAGGTCGTGTAGTGGGTGTGAGAGAAAATGTTGTTTGGTAGTTCATGGCATATACATTAGGCCTGATTTACTGAACAGCAGCCTGAGATTTGAGAGTTAAATGTCCCAGGGAGAGATGTTAGGTTTGCAAGATGCATTACTGGTACTCTGCAAACCACGGTATGGGTCTCTGGGGGCGGAGCACTTGGAGAGCAGGGTGGGCCAGTGCTCCAATAGCACGAGCTGCTAAGTAACAGTCGGACCAGAACTTTTATTTTGCTTAGTAGTTTCACTTACGTCTAATTGCACCTCACCTGTTTCTGATCAATTAGCTAGCAGGCTTTTAAAAATAAGGGATCAGCATGCTGCAGAGTGAGGAGGAAAAGCCAGAGGAATGGTGTCTTGCAGTTATACTTTTTGTAAATTGGCAAGTGGGAAAGCCACCCAATTCCAGATAGGGATTTGCTGTGTATAGTAAGTGCTCAAGCAAGAGCAAGGAATTTTGTTTTGTTTATTTTCATTTTTGAAACACCTGTAGATATATTTCACCAAATAAATCTGAAAAACTGAGCTGGATGTGTCTTGGACTTTCATTACCCTAGAAGGCTGTGGTTACAAGATCTGTGACAAGATCCTACCTGGAAAAGAGGTGGTGTGTTTTAGGTGACACTGGATACCCAAAGGTCCCATATTTTATGGAAGGATTTGTAGGAGTCGTGTATTTGTGCTGTTAGTTTGTCGAGGTTGTACGTTTCTGTAATTTTCCATTTTACTGTGGACAGGGGAGGTATGCGTTTATCTGCCCATAATTTGCCACTTGCTCTATGGGCTGCCAGGGCCATTCTAGTTGTGAGTTTGTTTTCACTTCTTATACGTTCTTCAGCTGGTTTCGAGAGTAATAGTAATGGACACTGTTTTAAACACAGCCTTTTTAAACAAATGCAAGGGTGATCCAAAAATACCAGAAACCCCTTATGGACTATACAGTTTCAACCTTTTGGGTCTCATCAGCATATTGCTGGTTCTAGTCTGGAAGTTGAAGTCTGTTTGAGAGTGTGGTTTCACCACAAATTATTTGTCATTTATTTGACATAAATATATATATAAAACCTGTGAGTGATCCGTTTCTTGCTTGCTGTGTGTTGGACTTGTTGAGCACCTGGGCAAGTTGAGTGCAAGGCTCTGGTTAGCTATATATAAAGAAATGGAATTGTGGCATGGACGAGTAATTTAGTAGGAGATTATTAAGGGGAGTTTGCATTTTTGCATTTCAAAATGTAGTACCTCTTGCACACCTCTTATAAAGTGCATGCAGAGCCACTGACCAAACCAGCTAACTGGGTATTTGATCACATGTCCTATGGCCAATCCAGGCACGGTGCACCCTGCTCCTGTAATTCTCTACTATTGTATTATCCTACTTTACTTACAGTGGCATGTCTACGATTGTTGTTATGCCTCCGGCAGCCGCAGCCCGCGTGGCAGTGTGGAATCCTTCCCAGTCACTGCGTCCCGGCTCATTGACATGTACATGGGAATCAATGACTCCAGGCATGACCACAATGTTCCCAACATCCAGGAGCTGCAAGGAACAAATTGAGCTTAAAGTTCATAATTGTAAATGTTCTGATTTCACTAGATATCACATCAATCACTAGTTAAAGCCAGTATGGAGATGCATTTGCTTAGGTGGATAAGAAAGTATTACTCCCAGATTTTAAGAAACTGCTCAGGGACTAAGGGTTAACCATCTTTTGCCATTAGTGTCTGCTTGTTTGCAGACTACCCACTTAGTTAGGAACCAATGATATGTGACTATGAGCATATTCTACTTTTCCCTGAATACAAATTCCAACCTAATTTGGCTCATGAGCTGAACAACAAAAATCATTATTTTTTGGTTCCCAAAAACTATACACATTTAGAGAGCTAGTAATCATATGCACTGGGATATTCACTAAACAGGGAATTGCAGTGAGTTGACAAAAAGCATTGCACAACTTAGGCCAAAATAGCCAACTCAGTATACACCCCAGATTGTGGCCATGTCTGAATGATTCTTATAAGGATACTTGAAAATGAAAACTTGGTATATCTGCCCAGTGTGTCAGTCTGACATCCTCAATAACCAGCTTCTGTGATTTAGACTAATACATGTAAATGTTTTTATTGTCGATATTCATTTGGAATGTTCATAAGTTGAACGTTTTCTTGCGTTACCTGTGATCCTATTGCTGGCTGTTGCTTGCCCCAGGGATCAATGCTAATAATCTTGCCATCTCCAATTAGAATATCGGCTGGTGAGACATTTTTTCCAATCAGAACTCTCTTACTTCTAATGATATTGACCTGTGACCCAAGTCCCACATCCTCCATGATTATTTCTAAAAAGAGGCAAAAATATTGTTTAGTGAATGATACCTGTTTTAAGTTATGATCAAATATCAGTCATGTGTATTCTAAGCAGGTGGTAATTAATAAGTCTGGATGTGCATGATTATTTAGGGTGAGGACCGAATGCAATAAACTATCTAGGCCGAATGAGAGACAACAAAAAGACAGCATTTGTTTGATTGGTTATTCTCTGTTCACTGCTTAAATAAGGGTGTGTATAAATTACTGTGTTTAAAGCAGTATTCTTTATGTTCAATAGCAATCAGGTAGTGCTAGAAAAACTGGCTCTTGGATTGTGTTTTCTCCTGAAGAATGGCCGAATGCCTTCCTATTTAGGACTCCATAGCTTTTAACAAAGATTATATCTATGTATTTATTCAAATTCTGTTGCAAAATGCATATGTTTAAATACACACTATAGGTAGGCACTACAGCCTAATTTAATAGAGACCTTATTTTATATTTTAGTATAATTTTTTTTGTTAAAAAACAGTATATTCTTTGAAAAGCTTATCCAAAAATATTAAAGGGACATTTCAGACCCCTAAAGCACTTTAGCTTGCTGAAAAGCTTTATGTGTGAAGAGTGTGTCCTCTTTTTTCATTTTGAAAATAGTGCAGATTTTAATAGGAATTGACACTTTTATAATTTATGCTCATTACACACCCAGGCTTTTCAAGCCAATAGCAGGTCCTGTTACTTCCTGGTGTGGTTAGCTATTTCTCATTGAGTGGAATTAGGAAGTGTGTGATTGGACAGCCACAGAAAGCTTGGGCGGGTTTAGAAGAGGATGTCTTGCAAAGGCAGCAGACAAGACATCAGCAGTTTTTGCAAGTTGTTTTTAGATATAATTCAAATGAATAAATGCATAATTAAATGCATGCATGTTTTCATTTTGGGTATATCTACTAAACAGTGATTTTTATTTATTTTGTATTTGGGCAGTGGAGAGTGTCCCTTTAAGTCAAGACCTGAATTGGTATTGTGCTTCAAGTCCATTTTCCCTTCATTTCATATTAAACAATTTTTGAGCAGTTTAAAGAGGCTCTGTCATAATCTTTATGAAATACTGATGCAAACTGTGTTGAAATTTCATTGATATTCCCACGCAATCCAAAGATGTATATCAAAGTAGTCTTATAGTCAATACAAAATGAGAGAATCTTAATAAGCAATTAAACATCAAAACTATCTTGTTTATAGAGAACATTGGCTTTGATTTAAATTTTTGGGGTAAGCTTTTCAAATTATTAAATATTTTTGGATAACATAATGTTTTTATATTTTTTTTGATATTTTTATATTTTGGGGGGAAAAATAACATTTTTAAAAAGTTTATCCGAACATCTTATAATAATATGAAAATTTAAACCAAAAATATTAAACCATTGGCAGAAGTGATATTGGGTGCAACAGTTAAACATTACGGATTGTTCATAACATAGAGCACATGTAGGAGTGTGTGGTTGCCTGTGATTAATAACTACTGCAAAGCAAAGTGTAAGGTATTCAATCCTAAAGCGGAACTGTGACCGTCTGGGAACTTTGCTGAAATCGCAAAGAACCCCAAAGATGACATCGCCACTGGTGGTCCAGTGGCCACGGGAGGGGGCGCAGGTAAGGATGACATTACTTACCTGAACTTGTCCCTTGCGGGCACCGCCATATTGGTCTCACTGCTTCTGTTCACCTCCTGACGCTTCAGGGCCAGAACTGATGTCACAGCTGTAACCTCAAGCATGCGCGGGATCCTCCATAGTCACAGCCAATTACCTGCAGCTGTCACTGATGACGGCTGCAGGGATTGACACATAGATTCTGCCTTGTGTCACGAAAGGTCAAGCGGTAGGAGAAATACAGAGACATTGTCTCTATATTTCTCTCTGAATTTCAGTGAAATTCCAAAACAGTCATAATGAGTATTTCATAAGATTCTATTATGAAATATTCATTTTCAATATGGGGATGATAGTGCCGCTTTAAGAAAACATTCTGCAGACCCTTTTGATTACTGGGCACTAATAGGAATACGGGAGTATATTGAGGAAATATTATCTGGAATGCACTCCCGAGATTGCTTTCTGGATTTCCTTTACCTTTTTATAAGTGATAGATATTCCGAACTCCTCTTCAATACAGCTGGCACAGTTTGAGTTGCTCCGAGTTCTTTCTCTCTTTTGTGACTTTTTCGGTTCTTCCTGGGAGCTCTGTTTCTAATCTCTTTCAATCATTGTCACCATCTCTCTTAGGAGACAAAATGTTTTTTTATCTCATTAGATATTGATCTCCCTTTGCTCAGTTCTCATCCCCTCCCCATAACTATTACCTTTGCTCCCAAGCCCCTGAGCCTTTCATATATTTACTGTCCAGATTCTTTAACCCTATTAATCGTTATCTTGTCCTTTCCTGCCCAGTCTGCTGAGTGGCTCATTTCTGAGGTTAATGATTTATGGCTTTGCATAAGTATAGGGGTTATGTTTAAAGAGCAATTATCTGGCAAAATGAATGCAATCAGCATAGCTGTGTTCTTGGCTTCTATGGTGATAGTTAAAGTTTTAGTCTTGTTCCCCATAGATGCTCTGTATACATAATCTTTGAACGCCAACACCCAAATAGTCTGACTTTATATATAGAATGGTAAAAACAGAGGGTCTGACAACCTTACAGGTGTGTTAAATAAGACTGTTTTCTGGTTCTGTAGGATTCTATGATTACTTTAATATTAATCTAACAAAAAGCAAGTTTACCATTATACCCAGAGATTTACAGTTTTGCATTTATATAATTACCTGACTTGGTCAACTTGCCCCTACTGCTTTGAGTCAGTTCCACCCACAGGGCCTCTGTTAGAATTTAGAACTCAGGAGCTTTTTACCAACCTTACCTGTTCCACTACATCTGCTTCTGTCAAGTGTTCTAGATTTCAATTATGCTGTTGAATAGACAAATATGCTGTCAAACTAGTGCTTCAGGCGTCCTAAAATCCCTACGCCTCATATATATAAACTCCTAGCTATTAGCATTAAAATGAATAACTTAGGGAGGCTCATTTGGAGCCACAATCAACAGGGACTGAAGGAGACATCTACAGTGTTCTCCACAAGATATGACAAAAAACACAGAAAAAAGTCGTTTGCGCACTATCCCAAACCCCTATGCACATTTAAATAACTGGAGGCTTTTTAGTATCACTCCAATTGCCATTAAGCTAAAAGGTAAATCTCTAATGAGACAGAGAAGGGAATTTTTCTAAACCCCTACACACTATAAACCTTAATAGGGAACGCATGGGGTGGGCAGTAGCACTGTAACAATACTCCATGAGATACCAGGCAGGACAGAGGCGTACCTAAGTTTTATGGCACCAGGGCAGGAAATTTATATTGCCCCCCACCCACAAACTATAGAATGTTGTATGTCTTACTCTGCATCCTCCAACCCCTTTTTGTTACATTACACACACATTCTCACATTAATATGCATATACTACACTCAAATACACTCCTGAATTCACACATAAACACTATGGACAATTACACACCTGCATTCAAACATCAACACTACATAAAAATAAACAGCTGCATTCACACACACATATTACATTCATAAACACACCCTCATTCAAACACACAGACACTGCACACAGTTACATCCCTGTAAAGAAGGGCAAAGCCCTATAGGGGTTGTACTACAGTTGAGAATCTACCATTTTGCCGACCCTGCTCTGTAGGGGACCCCAAAACAACATTAGTTCCATCATGACTTGGCTCCTTTTTTCTTTTCTTTGTACATGTGTTTTTAATGCATTATCTATATAATGCACAAAAATATGGGGGTCCCTGTGGGTCTTAGAGTGTCCAAAATATTAACGAAATTACTGATTTAATATGACTGTATAGATCCAGAATATACAGTGCTCAAAAAAATAAAGGGAACACAAAAATAACACATCCTAGATCTAAATGAATTAAATATTCTTCTGAAATACTTTGTTCTTTACATTGTTGAATGTGCTGACAACAAAATCACACAAAAATAAAAAAAATGGAAATCAAGTTTTTCAACCGATGGATTTGGAGTCACACTCAAAATTAAAGTGGAAAAACACAGTACAGGCTGATCCAGCTTTGATGTAATGTCCTTAAAACAAGTCAAAATGAGGCTCAGTAGTGTGTGTGGCCTCCACATGCCTGTATGACCTCTCTACAACGCCTGTGCATGCTCCTGATGAGGTGGTGGATGGTCTCCTGAGGGATCTCCTCCCAGAACTGGACTAAAGCATCTGCCAACTCCTGGACAGTCTGTGGTGCAACGTGACGTTGGTGGATGCAGCGAGACATGATGTCCCAGATGTGCTCAATTGGATTCAGGTTTGGGGAACGGGCGGGCCAGTCCATAGCATCAATGCCTTCGTCTTGCAGGAACTGCTGACACACTCCAGCCACATGAGGTCTAGCATTGTGTTGCACTAGGAGGAACCCAGGGCCAACCGCACCAGCTTATGGTCTCACAAGGGGTCTGAGGATCTCATCTCGGTACCTAATGGCAGTCAGGCTACCTCTGGCGAGCACATGGAGGGCTGTGTGGCCTCCCAAAGAAATGCCACCCCACACCATTACTGACCCACTGCCAAACCGTTCATGCTGGAGGATGTTGCAGGCAGCAGAAATTTCTCCACGGCGTCTCCAGACTCTGTCACATCTGTCACATGTGCTCAGTGTGAACCTGCTTTCATCTGTGAAGAGCACAGGGCGCCAGTGGCGAATTTGCCAATCTTGGTGTTCTCTGGCAAATGCCAAACGTCCTGCACGGTGTTGGGCTGTAAGCACAACCCCCACCTGTGGACGTCGGGCCTTCATACCACCCTCATGGAGTCTATTTCTGACCGTTTGAGCAGACACATGCATATTTGTGGCCTGCTGGAGGTCATTTGGCAGTGCTCCTTCTGTTTCTCCTTGCACAAAGGCAGAGGTAGCGGTCCTGCTGCTGGGTTGTTGCCCTCCTACAGCCTCCTCCACGTCTCCTGATGTACTGGCCTGTCTCCTGGTAGCGTCTCCATGCTCTGGACACTACGCTGACAGACACAGCAAACCTTCTTGTCACAGCTCGCATTGATGTGCCATTCTGGATGAGCTGCACTACCTGAGCCACTTGTGTGGGTTGTAGACTCCGTCTCATGCTACCACTAGAGTGAAAGCACCGCCAGCATACAAAAGTGACCAACACATCACCTAGGAAGCATAGGAACTGAGAAGTGGTCTGTGGTCACCACCTGCAGAACCACTCCTTTATTGGGGGTGTCTTGCTAATTGCCTATAATTTCCACCTGTTGTCTATCCCATTTGCACAACAGCATGTGAAATTGATTGTCACTCAGTGTTGCTTCCTAAGTTGACAGTTTGGTTGCACAGAAGTGTGATTGACTTTGAGTTACATTGTGTTGTTTAAGTGTTCCCTTTTTTTGAGCAGTGTATAAGTCTCCAAGCTAAAGTTAAAGCGGTACTGTCACTTCTTTAACTAAGAAACTAATTACAATTTTTTTTTTATTTTAAAAATGTATATTATTTTATTCTTCATTTTCTTTTGTTCTAATTTACATGTTTTGCCAGGTTTATGTAAATGAGTTCACTCTTGCAGTTCTGTAAATACAGCGCATGGGTACAGACAGCACCACTGGAAAAAATTCTGAGCACGCATCCACACGTACAGCATGGGGTTTGAATGTTACATTTTTTTTTTCTTCCAATTCTTTATTTTTGTGGTGCAAATAATCAACATACTTTCTTGCAGTGCTCCAACAGCAGTAGCAAGGATCATAATATACATGCGTTAACAAGTACTGTGCATAGAAGATCACTGCACACATTTTTGTTTAAGTAGCTAGGTCACATGCTGGTCTAACTTGTCCAATGTATATAATGTAACAGTAAACAGCCTGTATTCAATATTAGCTATCTAGACACTTGAGTGGTTATGTGAATACTAATTGTAAAACAAGCTTATAAGACAGGAGTATGAGATAAGTCTAGGGTCATGGAAAGTAATGTGGTTAGGTATGTTATATCACATTGGACGATTAACCATATAGGAGCTGCATAAACATTCAAGTTGTATATGCTAAGACTGACCTGCACAGACTATGCACATGTGCTTCAGGCTAGCTAAACATGGGAGGGTATTTGCAAAGTAAATGCTAAGTCTGCTGTGCCTATTAGAAAATAAAAGTAAAAAAGAGTATAACATGATAAACTGACAGAGTTATGACCACTGGGACCGCTCCCATTGTGGATTGGAGGCAACAAAAACTAGGTGAGAACAAACATAAGCCAATTGCATGTAAAAAGTTGCTGAGCTGAGTTCAGGGGATCTGATAGCTTGTTATAATGCCGCGTTTCAGCCTATTCCAGTCAGGCAGGTGGTGCCTGGGTCCGTCGTTCGCCATAGCCAGTATGGGAGCAGGGTTGTTGGATAGTTCTTGCCGGTATCCAGTAAGGCTCTGTGTGGCAGGGCTTTCCTCCGGCAGTGGGCCTGCAGCACTAGTCTGCGGACTTGGGTGCCCACTGTGGCCAAGTCTCTTCCCCTCCCAGGGCAGACTAAAGGTCGAGGCATTATGTATTGCAGGCGGGAGGCATTCCTCGGCTTACGTGCCAGATTTAGAGAAGTAGCACCTCGAAGGGCTCTCAGCCCAGGCGGATGGATAACAGCATAGGTAGGTGCTCATGCTTTAAAATCTCTCAAGGGGGCCCACATCACCGCGTCCCCTTTGTTTCCTTCTTCTGCTCCTGGAAACTAGGCTGCATGCGTTGCTGTAACTTTGGCCAAAAGCCCTTAAATATTGTGTCCAGCCGCTGCAGGACAGTGTCCGTGAGGCTGCCATGAGATGTATGCAGATTCTGTGTGTTAGTCTTTGAGGCTGCCGCCATCTTGAGTGTACAGTGAGCCACCAGGATTTGGGCCTCCGTGAGATCAAGAGGTAAGTGCGGTAATAGTAGCCAAGGGTCAACCAGTGGGACCGGGATATCCCACCCTGGTCCAGAGGGAGGGGTAGGAGTGGGGCTGATCTGCACAGCACTTGTAGAGCAGGGAAATTGGCCGCCCGCACTGTGGCGTGGTTTTGTTGTTTGAAGGATGCTGGTTGAGGGGGGATCCCCCAAAGATTGGCAAGACATGCGGGAGTTCACGCGGTATGCGTCCACTCATCTCAAGGTCTTGGCTCCGCCCCCTGAATGATGCATTCTTAATGATACATAGTATAAATAAAACACAAAGCAACTTCTTCCTTTAATCTGTTTATTTTGATAAATTGAAAAACATTTGGCTAATTGCCGTGACTTTGAATGATTTCACAATTCCAATTTAAACATCAATAATAATAATTATAATCAACCATAAGTTTAAACCAAAACCAGATAACCAAAACCAGATAAAAGCCAGGAGCCAGAAATAAATATTTCCAACCAAATAAACCAAATCCACCCCCCCGTGATGCCCAGGAAGGTGACTTATATCCCAACGCCACCGAACATCTGGGCAACCATACTCAGTGGCCCCCCAAAACCCATGGCCATCTCCACCATAGACTGAATACCCAAATTAAATACATCTAAACCTATGTCGGACAAATGAATCGCATCCCTCCTAGAGAAACCTACGCAACTGCCCTCAATATCTATGTGCCTATACGAACGCATCCCCAATGTTGGCAAAAAACTTTTCTAGCACCCTGTTTAATTTCCTCCACCCTTTCCAACGGTTTCAAATAGCTTACTTTCAGCCAGCAAAGTCTATAATTTCTGACCAAATAAAACGATCTTCTGGAAAAATTTGTGCTACAAAAACCAGATCCTTCTTTATCTCTTGCAACAAATCCACAGATTTTGTAGCCCCAATTTTGTTACTTT